AGTCTCGGACTTTTGGAAGGCGTATGAGGGGCCGAAGCCAACTCGCAGAGGCCCTTTGAACAACTTTTATAAGTGAAATGGGACATGAGCCGGCAATTATCCCTGTATGCACTATGAAAGTACACCCAAGTACAATCCCCAGTTAATGAAGGTTTATTGTGAAATGTGATAAAAAATGATAGGTTTATAGGTATGGGTCTATCCAGGTCTGGTGAATATAATTACTGTGGAAATACTATCTATGGCCCCTACCCCTGACCAATATTGATACATACGGATAAAGATGCAGGGGGTGACTGGCAAACTCAATTAATGGGCCTCCGGAAACGGCAGCGGCCCGGCTTGGGCCGTTACTTTTTCTGATATAAAAGTATGACTGATTTACTGAAAACTTTGAATTTTGGTGCTGACTGTACCTACTTAATATATATTTGTATATCTATTACGGCATAACACGGTAGACCATCTATAAATGTTAGACCTTGTTATGTATGTACAAATAAATGATTCTGATTCAGATTTTGTCCATTTTACATCAATTGACGTGTTTGTGATAGTTTTTACATGTAGTACTAATTTAATTATGTAGTCATTGACTTTAGATTATAATTATTGAAGTGACTAGCCGAAATAATATATTATAATTATTATGAATGCATTTTTATTTTTTCCTATGTGGTAATTCAGTGCTAACGTCAAAATAGCTTGACAAATGAAATGACAGCTGTCATCAATATTTAAAAACTGCAAAGGCGCCGGTCGTTGGGTCTGTTTATTACTAATATAAAACAACGAATATGTCAGCTTTTCATGGATTTCCTGAGCTTCCAGGGCCAGAGGAAATCCCATTTTGTAAGTTAAATGAAGTTTACTGCTGTGCAAATGCTCGTTATGGCAATATATCAACATTTACAAATTCGGTAAGGTTATCTGCATTATTCCATAATTATTCTTAATAAACTTCTTGATATTGATGTTTAATATAATAAACCTTTATTGTAGACGAAAAGCCATCCAGTAATCAATGTAACAAGAGACATACATCATCACAGGACGACTGATGAAAACATTTCTATGTACATAGACGTTGAGGACAACTTACTCAAAAAAATCACTAGTGTATGGTATAAGCAGGGGTTTTTGGAGGCTCTGGCAGTTGCTGCTGACCCCTCAGTGAACCGCGAGAGCCAGGCCCTCGCCATCGCCTCGTCATATGTGTTAAAGATCGCAAACGTCTTCACGGCGTTTAGATACTTCTTGCAGCCACATTTAAAGGATATTGGCCCTAAAATAGTCGCTAATTACTCTAGGACTAGGAACTGGGGTAATGCTCCTATAAAATGTATAGCTTGGCATCCTCATACTACCAAGATGGCTGTGGCAACAGTGGATGATAATGTGAGAATATATTGTTCTGAAGTGGCATTTGTGTCAACATTGAAATGTAAAGCACAAGGACATGTGTCATCACTGAGTTGGAGGCCATTCTCAGCTTCTGAGTTAGCTGTGGGGTGTGAACAGGGAGTCATAGTGTGGACTGTGGACCCCAATTCCATGTTTACTAAACCATCTTCTAGTAATGCTGTTCTTTTAAATAGGTATGTTAATATAATTATCTTCTAAATATTTATTCATTTTATTTAAATACCAACATGTACACATGACGTTGTCCCCATACAATGTTCAAAATATCAAGCAGCAACATTTTGGGTTGGTATACAAACTTTTTGGTAATTAACATACATATTAGATTGATTAGTGGTTGCTGGTGGAATATAGTCAGTGATACCTGGAAACAAAATGTATACTAATATTATAAAGAGAAATCAGATAGGCCCTGAAACTGCTTGATACCTGAAACGATTTCAAAAAATCATTATGGTTAGAAAGCTACTCTATCCCCAATAAACATATTCTATAAACTATTTGAATAAAACCGCGGGGCAGAGTGCTTAATAAGAATGAACATACCCTCCTAAACAGAGTTCAACATTTTCATATTAAAAAATACTCTTTCAGGCCAGGCCACAGTCCAGTCACAGATGTGAGCTGGTCTCCCAATGGTGACTTACTAATCAGCTGTTCTGGAGCTGACACATCAATGCTAATATGGGATGTTTCCATGGAAACCGCAGTGCCACTCCGGAGGGTTGCAGGAGGGGGCATTATCTTCGCCCGCTGGTCGTTTGATGCTAGCAAAGTATTTGCGGCTACATCTTCTATTATATTTAGGTAAATTATGTTCTTATGATTACAAGTGTAGCAGGGAAAAATAACACATTTATACATACTAAGTGGCCGGCCCTGTGAGTTAAATTATAACTAACTAACATGTAGTGAAAATCTTGATATAAAATATCATTACATAATTAGCACCCATTTTGATTACAATATTTTTAATCATAACAATAACTAGATTAGTTTACATACTTCACAATATTTGACAGAATGTATGTGTGCATTTGTGTTAGTTCTCAAATTTTAAAAGGATTGCAACACACCTCTTTTCTCCTGTAAATTCCACTGGTGTTGCCGGTGTCCATGGGCGTGGACTGCTTACCATTATTAAGTAAACTGTCCACTTAACATAAAAATCAACATCTACCAAAGGTTTATCTGTTGTTTTCAGGGTATGGGACACTAAACGATGGAAACCAGATCGCTGGTGTGCGCGGGGTAACCACGTCGTGGCTGCATGCTGGGGACCTTCCGACATCCTGCTGTTTGCTGCCAAGGGGGAGCCAATGGTGTATGCGCTCACAAACACTGGACTTATGAGTGGTCAGTTTTCCTATTTAAAAGTCAAATCATTTATTTAGGAACTTTGAATGATAATATTTCTTATGCATTGATGCGGGGTTTCCCTCGCTAGCTCGTATTTGTCGTAGCCCGATTTTTTACGACCAACTTTTCGATTAGTGGACTACCCAAAACAAAAAGGATAGGTACTTAGTTTATCCGCAGCAATAGTTCTGGAGATAGCGGATTCAAACAGAAACTTCTTCAGCTTCTTCAGATTTGTATACTACTATATAATAATACTACAAGCAATTAGAAGATAATTTAATTTTTATTTGTTCAAGTTATTGTTTTTTATTTGTGCATAAACCAATCTTCAGCATCATTATAAAATTAAATTTAAATTAAACTTTTATGATTTGCAATAAAGTTATCTCTTGTTTCTTCAGGATCTCAAACCAGCAAAGCTCTACCAGTTCTCGACGTGACGAAGGTGGAGCTACCATCAGGAGACACAGTAGGAGGACCTATTTTGGACATGTGTTGGGATCCTATGGGCAAATACCTGGCCATACTGTTTGAGGAATCAAATCTAGTGGCCGTGTTCTGCACAACTAAGCTCATGTTACAGCTTAAGATAACACCCTGGTGAGTGTGCTTATTTTACCGACTGAACTAATAATACCACGGCTTCCCAGAAAACTGGCATGAGATAACGCTTGCATTGTGTTCACCGTATGTCAATGCTTCCCTTCTCTCTCCTTCTCCCTTCCCATTTCCCCATACCCCATACCTCATACCACATTCTCCATATTTGTGTTCCCTATACTCCTTACCCCAAGTCCCAAATCCTTAAAACATCCTTGACATTCTCCAATAATCTCCAAAAGGCTGGAAGTGCACCAGTATCTTCTCTGTTGAGAACCATCGACTTGAGATCAGGTGATCTGCCAGCTAGTTTGCTACCCAGTCCCCTGATAAAAGATATCTTCAAATGACTCATGTACTTAACCTCCAACGTTTCCTTACAGTTGTTTCGTCTGCGGTATGGATGTGGAAGTACCTTCAACCATAGCATTCCAGCAAAACTTCAGTGAGGGAGCCTGCCTCACCATCGCCTGGTCCAGCGGTAGAGTACAACACTTCCCCATCATATACACCGATACATATTGACCATTTATTTGAAAATTGTGACGGTTTATGAAGTAAAGCAAGTTTTTTTAAGGTATCGTTAAAATCAAGTCTTTTCCTAATAAATGTTATATTAACGAAATATTTCATCCTCAGTTGCTGTCCGTAAAATAAGCTTTTAAATGTCAATTTTATTTAATTCCATACCCTTTTTGAAGTTTAATTAAATAAATCAACTACAGACTTTACAGGAACATAATTTCAAATCAATCCTTAAAAGACAAAATTTGGTTACAAGATTCCACTTCATAAATGTACAATAAAAGTTGTAAATAAAAAATGACTGATGGCCATCATATCAACCATTATCGCTAGATTTATCTTTCATTCTGATTGAACTTGCTTTACTTCGAATGTATAGTATAAAAAGTAGAGTAAGAAATGGCAGTTAGTTATAAAATGTTGTCAGTCTAACCTTGTATGGCGATTTCTCCGCTTCATTGTACTTATTTATACGAATAATGCTTTAAAGTAACTTGTGAGACACTAAATTTATTTGAAAAAAGGAATTAGTGACGTGAATAAAAACTGAAAAAATGCGACGTCGCAACGACGCGCACGCTGCTCACGAATAAGAGTCCCGTCGTGACTTGAAACTGGTCGTGATTTTCATAGTTAATTCACGTAAGTAAGTCCTTATTCCCGATTTTTTTTTTAATTTTATACCTTCTATGCATCAGCAGTTAGGTGATAATGTATTTTTTAAATATGCATTTGATATGACTTCATTACAGTACAGAAATAATATGTTGTAAACAAAACATTACAAAAATATAACATATTTGTATTTAATATAATATTTTTGTATTTATCAAATGAGTCCTTTTTTTACTGTTCATAGATGCGTTAAAGGTTTTCAAAATAATAATAATAAATTGTGAGACAAACAAAATAAAAAATGTATAAAAAAGACTGCCTGATATTTTTGTAATTTTTAAAATGTATAAATATTTAAGTATATTATTTTAACAATAAAACAATCATTCAATGACCATCTTTTACTGTCACCAAAGAAATACTTTTTACAAATATCCTTAATTTGCGTTTTTTCTTTTTATAATAATTACTTTTCATTTGTCTGTGTAGCTTTTTCGTTTGGTATGTTTTCTTTTAGTTGTCGGCATTGTTATTAGGGTGTTTTTAGGCGTCAATGTTCCAGTAGCCTTAAAACTCGCAGTGTTAGCTGTTAGTTGCTTAGGACCCAGTGTATTGTTGCCGGTCATTTCCAACCTTGTCGTCGAACTTATCGTAGTCCTAGTCGCAGTTAGATTACTCTGCCTAAATTCCTCTACTCTGAATGACTTTGGTTTATCAAACCTTCTCAGAGAACTTTGTGTCATATCTTTACCTTGCCTCCGCTTTTGGGCCCCAAATGTCACTAAAGAATTCTTTAATTCATCGTCCAAAGACAATTGTACTTTAACGTAAATTTTGCCAACGTCATTGGACTTGAACACCCAGTTGTAATCTCTTCTTGAAGGAGAAGGAGCGCCTGCAAAGTTGTTACCATTACATAACACGAAAAACATGCACACTTTATCCGTGAACAACGTTTCAACACTATCCAAGTCCGCTTTTAAATTAACAACCAAATCAGCCTTGACGTCCTCAAATAATTTCGTTTTCATTGCACTCAATTCGTAATCCACAATTTGGAGCAGCATATTGTTTATCTTTTCCTTTGTTAATTTTATAAAGTTCTTAATATTATCTATATTGGCTTTCTTGCTTTTTTTCTCATCCAGTGTGAAATTTCCTAGTCTCTTCCTGAATATCTTGATAACTTTCTTTTCGGCAATGGTACTAATAGTATCTAGTGTGGATTCAACTATATCTTTGTCAATTTCCATTTCTGATTTCACATCCCTGCTGTACATGGCTGCATAGTTCTTAAAAGCGCTAACAGTCGTTTCGTTAAGATAATTGTAGTAACTCTTGAAAAAATATTTCAATTCATCGGTACATACTCTAAAATTGTCACAATTCGTGTCTTTCACTGGTTTTTGTCTTTGGTATAACTTTTTTTCGCTATTATCATCTTCAATTTTGTCAAGTTGACATCGTACCTTGTATTTGCCCAGGTTCCAGTTATTATTTATAACAGACGAAAAGAAATCGTGAAACTGCTTAATAAATGAGTCCTCCTTGTCACTGTTAATCTTAAGGAAATTCAAATAATGCTTTCGTAAACTCATCCACTGTTTGTTGGACAACTTTTCTAAATATCTCATGGATTTCCGCATGTTCTTTGGTTGTTTGAATATATGATTCTGTAAGTCCGTGGTATCCACACTCTTCCACGTGCACTGTCTTTCTATCAGCATTGCTATCATCTCGTCCAATGTTCTTTTTATGAGTGCTTTCGTTGAACTAGAACAATTTTCTTTGTCCAACGCTTTCTCTATGTCGTGTCTCAACGCTTTATACTTTTTGATGCTATTTTGGAACGGATCCAGTTCCTGTTTCTCTTCCTTAAGCCCATAAGCTAAGTTATCTTTGGACCTTCTGTTCTTGGGCACAAACTCTATTATTGTGGTTTCTTCACTACCTTTTAGTGTTAAGTTATTATCTGTTTCAATCATCTTGTCAGTTAATTTAATATCATCGTTTTCTGCTTCAAATTTCTTATCATTTTCTTCATTATCTTGGAGAAAAGGTTTCAAGTCTGATATTTTTAGTCTAATAGCTTTTTCCACTCTAGACTCTTCCTCATTTCGTAGTTTACCCTTGCCGTGTATGCTGTCTATGAAAGGCTTTATAAATTTTTGTAGGAAAGTCGATATTATGCCCACATCTGAAAAGCTTCTTGGTAAAACTTTCTCCGTGTGGATCGACGTTATTGAGAACGCGCATAGTACTAGGAAGGCTGTAAATAAAAACATTGAAATTTTAAGGATTGTTATCTTTTTTGTTACCATTAGGTAAATAATATCTTTGTCAGCTCGACCTTATAATTGGAGTCACGTAAAATATTCTAAGTATCATCTAATTAGATTTGATCTCTGACTATAAGTATCGATTATCAGGAATTTCGATTTAAAATCCAATCGAATCTGCAGAACCATTTAACGATAGGTACTGGTAAAATTGTACAATTAGTTTTTAGTTTATAAATCAAAAATGGCCTACCTCCACTCGTATACCGCGGTACAAAATATGCCATGACTAATTTTTAAGCCAATTCCGGTTCATTTTACGATGTGCATAAATTTTGTTTTTATGCGCACTTAATTTTATCATTCAATATACCAAATATATTTGCAAGTGTTTTTTTTTATATATTTTTATTTTATTACAATACAATCACACAATTTTTCGTCCCGTTTTATGAGATCTGCGTAACTTTGTTTAAAACTAACCGGTAGCGGTCGGCCTTACCTACTTCGAAAAGATGGCCGAAGTAGGTATCACTCATTTGTTTTGTTTTGTTAGCGAACCTTGTAATCGAGAGGGTTGGTGTTATCCGATAATCCAGAAGGGATTATCGGACACCAACCCTGTTATTTAAATTTTTAAATTTTCGGCTATAATTAGGTTTTTAAATTTTCGGCTATAACCTTTCCTAGCTTATAAAATAAATGAATTGTTATAGTCGAGCTCCAGTGTACAAGGGTTCTGAGACTAGAACAATTAAGTAGGCACCTTTATAAATCTCACGAATAATTATAATTGCTTAGCTGGTGATTAGCTAGATCTAGTCTAAGTTAGCATAGACTACTCTTAGTCATCTAGTCCTAATATAAATTGTAACACGTCAAAGATAATACGAATATGCAGTATCCATGAGTAGATAGAGATAGAGTTGCGGTGTGTACCTAACCGCAATAAAGTAGACATCGCGGCCTCGGCCTGGAGCAGAAGAAGGGAGTGGTTTTTAGTCAGTAAGAGTCTGACACTCCATCTCGCTAAAGTTCTCTATGGTCTATCCATTTAGGATTGATTATATGTACTTATGTACGTAAACAATGTTGGCATATCTTTTTATCTAAAAGTTGTTCAAAATTGTATATATATATATATTTAATATTAAATATTATCTCACACCTTAATAGATGTTAGCTAATAAACTAAATTTAATTATCTTTGTCTGTATTTACGTCCTTTTAATATAAATAGACATACCAAGATACTACCTACCTTAGTTCACCATTTAAACCGATAGACCAAGTGTGGAAGAGCCACGCTTCGGCACGAATGGATCGGCCGGAGTGACGGCCTTCCAGAAAACCGACGTGAAACAATTACAGCGTCGTGTTTCGCCATGTGAGTGAGGTTAATGGAGGCACAAACTTTCCCCTACCCCTAACCCCCAAAAGGTCGGCAACGCACTCGTAACTCCGCCGTTGTTGTGGATGTCCAAGTCTATGGGCGGCGCTGATTGCTTACGATCAGGTAATTCATCAAAACGTTTAGCGTCCTATCACACAAAAAAAAATATCGACGTAGCTAGGTTTCTCCATTTAACTACCTAATATAAAAAATCTTACTCATTGCCAAGATACCTACCAACTTTTGGATTAACAGTCAGTCGACTGGTCGTAGGTACCTCCTGAAAATCTTTTTGACATTCTCTTTGACATGGACGTAGAATAATAAAACAAATATTTTTAAGCAAATAGCGTTTTATTTAACAACATTACAATAAGAATTCAGTAGCACTGAATAAAATCAACACACATAGATATTGTAGGTCCCACATTACTGCTGAAGCCTACTTTTTAAGCTTACACACTAGTATTGCAACTTGGTATCACTTGCATTCTAAAAAAACCTTAAATACCTACATTTTTAAATATATTTTCGTTATCATCTATTCATATTCTGGTTGATAAAACTTGATAAACTTAGGTTTCTTGAGCAAATGTTACTTCATCGTTTCGATATGATATTCACAAGGTCATTAATTCCAAAATGGACGACTGTGTCAAAAGGATCGGAGTTAAAAATATATCCCTTATCACACGATTTTTATTCCGTATAGATTCAAAGTAAGTAGTATAGACCATATTTATAATTTTAAAACGAATAACTAGAAATAGTCTTATCTATAAGTAGATTTACATTTTTACATGACTACAGTAAAAATAAGTACCTACATATCAATTTAAAAAAAAATCGTTAGCGAAATTTAATGTAACTACTAAATTTAAAATACGTATCTATATCTATCAGATACATATGAAAATTTAGTTGAAACTAGTAACATATTAAAGTTTATATGTAGAAAATTTTGTGTTTCTATAAAAAAATATTACTAAAATATCAAAATATTGTTCGAAGATATTAGTTTAGTCTAAATCTACTTAATCGACTCGGAAAAATCTTGTCCATCTCACGCTAAACTTCGGCTATCAATTAAATACGATACATTTCGCTTTATAATAATCATTTTTACAATTTAGGTATTGGGACTCGTTATATTAGCTTTATATTTATATCGAGCAACGAATATAATTAAACACATGGCGTTGCTTTAAGGATACTGCAATATAAAATTAATTTAGTCTGCTGTGAATATGTTAGCGTTCACTTGTTTGACCGTTCCCCTCCTCATGCCGTTTTAAAAGTGTGTATAAAAAGTAATAAATAGCAATAATTACATAAAATAACCTAAATAAATTAAAATGTACGTCGTTAACTATCAGAGAGCAACTGAGCATTATTTCTTCCTATTGACTATGTTTGACAACCCTAAAGCTACGCGTCTGAGCGCGCGTTCACGCGCGTGTTTCCCCGGAGGTGGGCTCACTCGACTACGTTATTTACTCGAGAAGGTTTAGTTTGCTGTTGGTCTTGCGCAGTTGTGCTCGCCAAGGGATTATCTTTGCTTTTTCTTCTTCTTCCTCTTCATGCTTACCGTTTGTTGTGGTATGACCTGCAAATAAAATGGAAAAAATTAGTCTAACTTATAATAAAAATTTTCGTGTGCGAAAAAGGACTCATCTAATTTATAAACTATACTAACAAACAGGAAAATTTGTTTTTCTTTTTGGTGATGCAAAAATTAATACATTATACCTAAAAAAAAACTACAATTTGCAATAATTTCTGATAAATTATTTCATCTTTTTACCGTTACAATGATCACTGGACAGTTTCGCTTCTGATGGCGCGCGCATGGGCTGCGCAGGAGTGTCGTAGCACATGCTGATATTGTCTATGGACACAGCACGTTGAGCCCCGCTCGGGTACGATCGCCATTCACCGTTCGGCTGTCCATTCGTCTCTTCTACCTTGGGAGTGTACAGGGAATTTCTGGAACGCCAAAAGTATATGTTAGATAAATACCTACTATTTAATTCTGCTGATATATTTTTTCATTTTTTTGTCATTCTCCTTGAACTTGAGCTTAACAGAAAACTTCTGTGTCTTACTAAGTAAAACTGACTCTTATTTTTATCAGCATTAGAAACAAAATCAATCTCACTATTTTTTTCCCATTCAACACCCTTCCCCCCCTCCTATCCAAATGAAAACGGACCTCAACCTGTTCTCGGCCTCTTCTCTTCGCTGCAGCAGTTGTCTCTTCCAGGCGGGCACGGCAGCAGCTCGTCGCCTCTCTGCTTCCCCTGCCAGCTCTTTTTCGAGGTCTTTCCGAGCCTTCTCCGCAGCTCTTCTTGCCAGCATCTGACGCTTCCAGGCCGGGATCACGTTACCAGCTGCATCTCTTTCCGGGACCTGTGCACACCTCTGCCAATCGACCAGCCGTTTTCGATTGTTAAAGCTTGCACAGTCTAATTTTTGTACTAAAGATTTTTGAAGTTGATGTGATAGTGTGTGTAGTAGTGTAACACAGTGTGAGTACTAGGTTTTATGCTAAGTTCAACCTTAGTCTTTCGGGATTAAGATTATTTAATAAACTTCACTCTACTGAATAACAGAAGTCTTAATCGTACAAAAATGGAAACAATCAGATTATTTACATAAAAACTGTCCTTTTCCTAAACATCATAAAGTCTAAAGTGCGTAAAATATCGTTTCTTTTTGTGAGATGAAGCCTTCTGTGAAAGACACTGGATTTCTGTTTGCCTAAGCGGAAAACAACACAATGGAGCTAAGATTGAACTCGGCTTAAGAAATCTCAAAACAATAATTCCCACCGTGTTACAGCAGATTGAGTAATTGTGACGAATCATAAATTTAAGCATCATCAATTTCAAAAACCTATGTATTTGTGTGTATGCAACATTGTTGTTAGAATAGTAATTAGTTTTGTAATGTTTGGGATAATGGCGCAAGGTAGACTGTGCTTGCTTTTTTCGTCTTAAACTATGCGCACACTAAAGGAAAAATAATGGTCACTTTTTAAGGGAGACCATCCAGATAAATTATCGCATTTCTAAGTTTAATAGCTTATATTTTAAAGTTATGACCCATCGCACTTGCACTCATTAGGTACAACAATAAACTGCTCTAAAATGTCATAAATAATTACACTAGTAAGTAAAAACATGACTTAACACGACATAGGCGCCATCTGGTAAGTGCAAAAACGATAAGTGTAACATTAAATTATAATGCGTTCCAAAAGTCGCACTTAAGACCTTCCTAATGTGCGCACTAGCTAAAAAATCTAAATATGCAAAAGTGGATTTGATATAATAGCCTATGCATTTTGTCCAAAATACAACTAAACCTATTGAATCTTTAAGCATAGGACCATATATAAAGTTGTACAAAAACAGAACATGTAGGCAGCTTTATTTTCTTTTAAAATAAATCATTAAAATTAAAACTAAAACACCTTATTTATGACGGTTAATCATAATAAATACTGAGAGTATGTGCCGTGTAGCTCATTTATAAATATAACAGTAACTACTAGATTTACTTGTGGTTATATAACACGCGAAGCGGCTCGGTGACCGTGACTTTAACGGTACACCACCGGTTAAAAGTACCCGTTTTACACCAGCAGTAAGGGATGCTATATTGCAGATCTTGATAACAAGGCTCATTATAAGACTGCTTGTACCAACTGGCCCGGGAAATTGTTAAGTGCTTAAGTAACTGTTTTCATAACAGAGTTGATGATCTTGTGATTGTTAGGTTTCGTTACTGAAATGATGTATTGATTCAAAATTCTGGGATAAATAAAATCGTATGGAGATTTTTAGTATGTCAAATTCCGCATTTGTTTTTTTTTTTTTTTTTTTTTTTTTTTTTTTTTTTTTTTTTTATTTTTTTATTTTATTTGGGAAACAAACAGATACATTGCATTAACAAAACAAACACAATTTAAACCAAACATCATCCAAAACAGTTTCCACAACCTTATTAAAACATATAAGCCGACTCAGAACATTATTAAAACGGTTTAGTAGAATAAACATCAATTAAAAAAAAAAAAAACATTTGTATTAGACAAAATGGAATATCAAACAATTGGAGCAGGAACCAAACAACAGCGAATGCTTTTTTTGAATTTGTTAAAAGGTGTGTCAAAAACATCCAGCTGATGATCACTATTTGATTTGATGACGGCATTGTACGTACGGCAAGATCTAACAATAAATGAGTTCTTTCTGTAATTCGTCTTTGCGGTGGGAACGTGAAACAAAGCCTTATTACGCGAAGAAATACGTGGACATCGCAGACCTATCCTACTTAAAAGGTAAGAAGAATCAACCTGACCTCTAATTATTTTATACAAGAGCAATAGATCCCGCTGACTTCGTCGAGTCTGAAGTGATGGTAATGAAGGTAGTTTATCCAATTGGTGGTTTTTGTTGATCCTCCACATTACGTGCCTATTCAACCTATTCTGGATTCTTTGTATTTGATCAATATACACATTATATTGTGGATTCCACAACACAGACGCATACTCCAATATTGGTCTAACAATTGTTTTATATAGCAGTAACAGGGTAGATGCACGCTTGAAATCCCTCGCAATTCTCAGTATGAAACCCAACAAACGATAAGCTTTGTTAGTAACTGACGTCACTTGGCTGTCAAAAAGCAGTTTACTGTCCAACTGAACTCCCAGATCCCGCACCTCGTATACTCTCTTAATACTTTCATTATTTATTTTGTAGTCATATTCGATACACTTTCTTTTTCTAGTAAATGTAATCACATTACATTTCTTTACATTGACAAAAAGCATATTCTTCCTACAATAGTTGCATAGATTATCAATGTCAGTTTGAAGTTCTTGGCAGTCTTGTACATTTCTTATTACTTTAAAGATTTTCTTATCATCAGCGTATAATAAAAAGTTAGAATGATTAAAATTTAAGTAAACGTCATTAACATATATATTGAATAAAAGAGGCCCGAGATGCGAACCCTGGGGTACCCCCGACGTTATAGGTATGAATGATGAACAGAAACCCTTGACAGTAACCGCCTGGCTACGGTCCCGCAGGTAAGACTCCAGCCACCGAAGTAAATCGCCATGTATACCCATGTATTCAAGCTTATGTAACAGTACTTTATGAGAAATTTTATCAAAGGCTTTTGAGTAATCGGTATACACGACATCCACCTGCAAGCCTTCATCCATAGCCACGGTTACACTCTCAACTAATTCACATAAGTTGGTTTCAGTGGATTTCCCACTAACAAACCCGTGCTGCTCAGGTATCAGTAAAGGTTTAACAAGAGGCGTAATCATATCACAAACAATCCTTTCAAAGAGCTTAGGTATGACACTAAGCTTCGAAATGGGTCGATAGTTTCCGACGTCGTGATTGTCTCCACTCTTAAAAATAGGAACTACATAAGACTGCTTCCAAATCGGCGGCAAAGAGCCTAATCGTAATGACGCATTAAACAGCCTGTGCAGAGGAGCGGATAAGGCTTTATAACACCTCAGCAAAAATAAAGGGGGTATGCCGTCAGGACCAGAACCTTTCCTCGTGTCCAATTTTTTGAGATATTTTGAAACAGTCTCCAAAGGAATATCAATTTTACCGAGATTTAGAGATGTGTCACTGTTAACAGTATTGGAGGTGAATTGATGGTTTGCAGTCTCTATTTCAAAAACGGAGCCAAAATAGGTATTGAAAAGATCTGCGATAGTTTTTCCATCAGAGGAAGATACACAATTTAGGTATAGACTGTCGGGTAGATCATTAGCCTTTTTTTTAGATGCCACGTAATTCCAAAAGTGTTTGCAATTTTTCGCTATACTGTTTTCAGTGTTAATAATATATTTGTCGTAGCATTCCTTAGCAACTCTTTTTTGTCTATTTCTTAAGAGTACAAAAGTTGTATAATCACTATGCTGACCATAACATTTCCACTTCTTATGATACTTTAATTTTTCCTTAATAATTTTCTTTAATGCTGAGGAATACCATACCGGGTACTTATTAGTATTAATAATTGTTTTAGTTGGAACATGCTCACCGATTACTTCATCCAAAACATTATAAAACCCTAACACTGATTTGTTAATATTTTGTTCATCTATAATAGTATCCCAGTCAATTCGAAAAAGAACTGAATTAATAGAATCGTAATCGGCACTGCCGAATATCCGAGTTTTTCTCGAAGGGGATCGTAACGCATTTAAACTGATATTATGTACAGTAATATCCAAAGCAGGATGGTGTGGGTCTTCATTAACCAGTGGGTATGGGGATCTTGCGACTTTACAAATGAGATTACTAATAACCAAGTCGAGATGCCTTTTATTTGCGTTTGCTATTTTGTTAAACTGTGAAAAGTTGTTGAATGATAAAAAGCTTGACAAAACTCTAACCAAAGCATCCTCACAAACCAAGGTCAGTACTGCTTCATCCCTTTGTGGAGACGACACCCAGTTTGCATTTCTAACGTTAAAATCTCCAACTAACAAGAATCGGTCATTAGGACAATTTATAACAGCTTGAGAGACTTGGTCGTAGAAGTCAATCTCCTCAATGAATTGAAGATTATTCTGTGGAAAGTAACAGCAGTATAACCTTAGCTTAGATTTCTGGGAACGCTCTTTAGCAAAGACACTCAAACTTAAAATATCAGCCGACGCTGACGCACTTGATGGGTTAATGCTGACGTCATCGATTGTTAAGCCCTTTTTTGTAGCAATAAGAACTCCTCCACCCATTGCATCCGATCTGGAATCATAATCCCTGTCACATCTATAAACATTGAAAGTGTTATCAAATAATTCGGCATTAAATATCCCTGGCAACAACCATGTCTCGGTTAAACAAATAATATCATATGAACATAGTAACATATTATCAAAAAATAAATTCGTCTTTGTCCGCAAGCCACGCACATTCTGATAGTAAATGTTAATACCAGTGTTACAATTCATTGCAAATATTAGCAAAATGACAATTAATTAAAATTGAAGAAGACCTTACTGTTATTAATACGCAAACAAAGAACCAGCCCGCGAGACTTATTACAGAAAAGTTACAACCGCCATTAGACCACACACACAATACTCTCAGCCGCTGAAGTGAGACTAAACTAAATAAAATATATTTCACAACTGTTTGGTTCCGAACTGTAAAGAAAATTAAAAATATCAAGGTGGCTACAAAATCAAATACAATGGAGATGGATACGTATACAATATGGAATATAAAATAACTTTTTAAACTAACTTTTTTAAGTCGTTCTCAGTAGAAATAAGGATAGCTGCGCCAGAATCGCTTTTTCTTACTAATATAGAAAAATTTTTCACCCAAACGTACTTATAATGCTTTTCTTCAGCTAGTTTTTTAACTTTATTCAACAATAACTTCTTGCTACTAGTAAGGTGTTCGTTAATATAAATACGTGCTGTATCATTAGAGTAGCCAATATCGCATGCCTTTAAGTCTTTAATTTCTCTCAATCGGGATAAAAATTCGTCTTTTTTGTATCGTGCTAGAAAACGAACAACTACTGGCTTGGGTTTTTTAACATCTTTATTCATGTGAGCTACTCTAGTCACGAAATCTATATCGGTCTGTGCGTTGAAAGGGCATTTGGCATGGGTGGCCAGTTTTGTTACGATCGTAATCAGATTCTCACCATTCTTTTCAGGCAACCCTATAATCTCAACATTCGACCGTCTCCCCCATTGTTCCTGTCTTTCAATGCTATCATTGATCAAGTTTATTTGGCTTTTCGTTTCATTGATCTCCAATTCCAACTTATTAACTGACCTGGACTTTGTTTCTATGCAGGATAATCTAGCCATAATGGCATCGTATTTATCGCTCATAAACTTAAAGTTAACTTGCAGATCATTGACTTCCGACTTTAGGTCTATCAAGGTATTATTAATGGTAGAAAGGGCCGTGTTGATTTCTTCTCTGATAATACCACGTAATGCGTCCTTCGACATCGTGATCAGTTCCTCTTTCTTTGCGACAGAGTTTTTTCTTATAGTCACATTCTGATGACATGGTGAGGTCTTTGTCTTTACCTTGTCGACTTTAGCTCGCACGGGAGTATCATCTCTGTTGTCCCTCTGTTTACCCTTGGTACAGCTAGGGCATAGCCAAGACGAGAGAATGTGTTGGTCGGGAACCCAGTTTTCCTCTTTGTTGTGAAAGATACATTTAATGTGATAATTATCGTCGCATTGGCAGCATACCAGCTCTTTAACAGCATTATTGTTTAGTAACCGACAACATTTAAAATTCATATTGGCACTCATAAATATTTTACGTATGTTTCAGAACGTCACTTCAATTATGCTTAAAAATAAAATAATGAAACAAACGTGCGTGGAACGTGCTCGTGTCGGCGTAATGTTGGTAGGACCGTGCAACTCCGTGGGCTTCGATGCACTCTAATTTAGACCTTATTACGGTACACCTTACCGTGAGAATCCAATGTAAAGCTGATTGGACACTATGACGGACACTTTTTGATAACTTTGTTAATGTTTGTAAAATTACCTGCTTCCCCGCATTTCAACGTAGAAAATCGGTAACACTGAATCTATAACACTTATAACGGCCAATGGTAATACTTATATAAAAAAATTTGAAGTAATAATGCAAAAAAATATATTTTAAATATCAGAGCTTTACAAGATTGTTATGACTCGGGCGCGTTCCAGTCATATTGTTGATGTTCTATCTTTGTTGCTTGCATCTTGCAATGCATTGTTATCTTTTAGCTAATCTTATAAAATCTAAAAAAAAATAGTCTATAGTATATCGACGTCAATAGGATTATGTACCTACATACAATAAAATGCGAGGTGATTTAAAAATAGAACAAACATGGCGGCTTGACAGTTACGTCAGTTGAAAATGAAAAAATTATTCGAACACTATATTTGTTCAGTGATATTATTTAAGCTGCATGGACATAAACCAATCATAGCATCTTCAAAACTACTTTCATAAACCGCGGAGGCTTTGATTACTAAGCATTAAGCGATCTTAGTGTTTGAAATAAAATTTCTTTTGAAAGTAGCTTACACTTGGAGTAGTTGGGTACATTTCACGGATATGAGTGTCCGACTCATAACTCGCACGGTGATTGTCGAAAGTGATCTTAGTAATTACCTACTTCGTATGATTACGGCGTATTTCGGATTGAAGAGTCGGCTGGATTTCATGTCTGAAGTTGACGCAATGACAAGGTAATCGGATTTTATATTTGTAGATACGGTTTCCACACGTAGTTGAGAAGTTTTTGTATGGTCTACTACCTCTCTTGTGTCGATGCCGGATTTGAATGAGTATGTGATTGTGCAAATAATATCTACAAGATAAATAAGATTTACACTGGATGTTATGTATGATTTCAAATTAATTTGCAAATCAGCAAAACAAATAGCAGTCAATTAAGCAAATATTTCTCTCCTACGCGTTGAATGATTAAGGACGCTTTTTATTTGGCTACTTTTAGGATTTTTTTTTTAAGTACGTGTTTAATATTTTCCTTAAATTACTTATTAGATTAGAAAATGAGTGATGAAGTTACTTATTAATTTCTTTACTATTATTTTACTATCATCAGCCTATAAGAGCCCGCTGCTGAGCTAAGGCCTCTTCTCACGTGGAGAATGTTTGAGCATTAATCACCACACTATCAAGACGTATTGATGATATCAACCTTTCCTCGCGATGATTTTTTTACCGTTGCTAAATACAGTTACAAAGTACATATGACTTAGAAAAACACACATTGGTACTTCAGGCTAGATTTCGAACTTCATGCATGAAACGCCTTAGGGTGCAGTTCCATTAAGGCGGAGCGGAGCAGAGCGGAGAAGAGCTGTGCCGCGATTCACCAATCACATGACTTGCCGACACAGCCACATCGAAGAAGAGATGTGGATTTCAAGCCATGTGATTGGTGAATCGCGGCACAACGGCTCCGCTTCGCCTCAATGGAACTGCACCCTCAAAACAATTAATTCTGTGCACGACAGCGGAATGTTTATCCGATATAATGAATCTCTTAATTAGGATCGAACAATCTGGCAATGAGATGGCAAAAAAGTGAGGAAGAATGTAAAACCGCTTAGATTACCTGCTCGAGTGACCATGTGATATGATGACAATGTTAGTATTGTTTGTTCGTTTGTCTTTCAACTATGCAAGGAATGTATGTTTTAATTAATTTTATAATTGCCTATTAATTGGTAGTTAAATGTCTAGTTACTACAGTATCGCATGTGCAGTCGTTGGCTGTGAATTTCTCAAAAAGATGCCAAGAAATAGGGTTTATTAGATTTTCGTTCTCTTTTGATCCCTGACCAGATACCAAAGGTCAGGAAGTTAAAGTTTCGTCGAGGGTATCTATACTAAGTATGAAATCCATATGACAGGTGACAAGGATATAACCAGTACGCGTTTTTCTTCTACAACTATTACTAATTTTGAAATAACCACCAACTAGTGGTCGGGATCATTCACGTTAACACGATACTTTACTATATGGATCACTCAATATTTAGACACAATTTATAAAATTGTACAAGAGGTGTTATATAAGTTGGAAAATAAATTCAAATCACAATGACAAACTAAAAGCTCGCTACGCAAATGAATACAATTAAACTTTTAAACGTTATTGAGATCGAATTCCACGGACGAGGTGAAATTACATAAAATAAAGCTAATTATTATTAATATTTTGAAAAGATTAAATAAAAATCGTGACAGTGCGCACGACGACACTGCGCAGGCGCAGAGAAAGCGTGAAAACTTACCCGCCGCTCATTTTGTATAAAAATATAAGCATCTAGTCATATTGCATTTAAATCTTGCTAATTGATAAACAAGAATTATAAAGAAATGTGTTTTGCCTAAACTTGGGCAAAATACATAATTTGATATGAATGCAAAAATATACTACTTATCCACCTTTTAACTTACTAACCTACTTAATATTATTTCAGATTTTTATGTGCACAGACTAGCCTAGATTTATGGTGCAAGGATATAGACGTATGGTTAGTTTAATATAACACCAAACATTTTAGGTAGATACCTATATTTTGAAAATCAGTTTAAAATAACATATATTTTTTAGTTTAATAATATATGGATATTGCATCACAGGCGGGAATAAGTGATCACTGATCATCTATGTTTCTGTTTAATATATGTTTTCCAAGCATCGAAGCTGAAGTTATATTGATTTATGTACTCGTATAGGTACGTAAAATACGTATCTGGTATCCTGTTGGTAAATAATAACTGTTACATTATACAAAACATAAGAAGAACAGGTTACTTTGTATGGCTTGATCTCAACACAATATTATAGAGATAACTGCGTAGTAGTCGTAATAAATTTGCATGATTTTATGGGAAAGAAAGTGTAATAGTTTCGCCGTGATTCAAGGAAAATGTAAGAGTTTTCTGGTAGGTAGAGGTGGTAAACTTTTTTCATTCTACTTAATTATGGCCCATATACATATATCAAGGTTGAGAGCCTTATTATAAGAACCAAATACAATTCAAAACTTCATGTATTATTTATAAAAATAGAATCGTGTAAAATCGTGTAAAAATGTTCTTGATTCGTTATGCTCTTACCTAAGCCCTTACCCACCCAGGGTAAGGGCTTAGGTAAGAGCATAACGAATCAAGAACATTTTTAAAAAGTTGATTGGAAAATTGAGTTTAGCCTACCATTTCGTCGTTGTCGAAGTAGTTGGATGCCCCTGCCAAACGGAGTCGGGAAGCTAGTCCAATATAATATTATATCGATAACTGTTTAATGAAACAAAACCCTACACCTTTCACATCTTCAGTTCACCCACTTACATCACATTTTTGGGAATGTGGTCCTTTGATACAACAATTTCTATCATCATAATAAGTACCTACGTTATAAGAAACCCGGAACACTCGACGATTAAAAACGAAACGTGGATACTAAAAACCTCTCTCAGTTTCTAACAGACTAAATCCGTAATACATTACTATGTTCGAGCATCAAGAAAAACAACAACACATACTCCATCAACGATAGATTATGTGCCTTCTTTTCACAAGACTATTTAATAACAAAACGCTAACGAAAATGTTTGTTTTTATAATTTATGTTACCACAATTCAGGTCCTCAAGATACAGGCATAGCCTAGTTTGGGGACCACTAATAAGTACCTATCATAATAAAGTACCGGCACTCATAGTTACAATAGTTTATAATGTAAGTTACTTCGATAAGGACCGAATGTACCTAATTGTAACTAGTGGACTATTTATTTCATTCTTAAATAGACAATCACATTTTTGCTTACCTAATGACCATGGTCCTTTGATACGATCACAGTTATAACCATAACGACTCATAATAAACTCCTTTCCATTCTATGAAATAAATATGTGTTAAAATCTAAACCTCTATCTAATTTAGTAGTTACGCTTCGTTGAATGAATAATGTAACTCTAAGATAGCTGCCATTGATATACAATGCTAACGAGAGTTGGTAATTATGAGAAAATAATTGGTAAACAAATGCGCTTTTCTTTCATCGCACCTCGTTATTGTGTGAAGGATCGGGTAGAGAGAGGTATAATTATCTTTCATCAGTTTTAGCTTGTGTGGATCAGAAATAATTACAAGAATCTTAACTCTTACACGGAGAAGGTATGCGTATTTATTAATGCCTAGGTTTGCTAAAAGCGGTTTGGCAATTTGACACTTGCAATGTGGTATATATAAATCAAAATCGCTTACTGCTGTGTCCCCATGTATATGCGGGATTATATATGTATACATATATAGAATTAGTGACCTGGCCTGACTTCGCACGGATGCAATGTTGATTGATGAGAAAATTCTCCACTGTTTAACGGATGTGTTAACATAATTATGACATTCCTCTTCAATCACTATATCTGTATAAAAATCCTATCAAAATACGAAGTGTAGTTAAAAACAATTAAACATCCATAGCGATATAGGGTTAAAGGAACTGAAGGGTGAAACGACTTTGTTTAGTATTATGTAGTGATGGTTCAAGAAGAAGATTTAGGAGTATAATTTATTAAGATTTACGGCTGAAGACGCGGGCAGGAAACTAGTTATAAAATCTAGATTTTTTCAGGATATATTTCTTCGTCGCATGTCAGTGATGATTAAAGAAACCAATACCTAATATTACTTATTGGCAACAG